AGGTCTTCAAATGGGGAAAGGAAGGTAGAAATTGGGAGGGGCTATGACTGCTTCCTAGGCTCAAGTTGTATCCGGGATATTCTCAACAAATTGAATCTAGAACTGAACTCTAGGCTAAAGCTTTTAGGTGCCTAAAGATTTCTCAATGGTGTAGGGGTAACGAGTATGGGAGGATGGCTCAGCACATAAAAATACTTACTTGCCACCAAGTCTGATGACCTGAATTTGATCCCCAGAATCTCCACAGTGGAAGGAGACCTCCCCGCCCCCAACATACACAGAGTTTAAGACTCCATAAAAGGAATGTTAAGTGCACACAGAGGCTCAAGATTAACACCTTAAAATTGTAAGGCCCAGTGATATATCTATACTATTGATTTCAATCTCACTTGTAGATTATGGCATCAGATCCTCTGGACCTGGAATTACTGATAGTTGTTAGGCACCATGTGGGTGCTGGGATCCGAACTCAGGTCTTCTGCAAGAGCAACCAGTGCTTTAAATCATTAAGTTGTCTCTCCAGCTTCTGATTTTACCTGATTTTAATTTCCAACGTCATTAACATTAATTAGTGATACTGAAAATAATGTATATGTAATAATAGCTGTCTACACTAGCTGACCATGGAGATGTGCACCTGTAATTTCAACTGCCTGGTAGGCTGATTAGGAGGATCATGAGTTGCAGGACAGCATTGGCAACACAGAAAGACCATATTCAAACCAAACTAAACTAAACCATTCATTTGTAACACTTTCTAACACTAAAAGGGCTAATACTAATACTAAAGGGCTAGGAAGAACCTGCTTCTATCACAGAGCACACGTGGCATACTCACACAATGGAATACTACGCAGCTGTTTACAAACCAAACCAAACTCTAGAAACCCTATGTATGGATGAAGAAGACTCTAAAATATACTGCAAAGAAAAAAGGCACCAAGCAATGTAAACAGCATGATATCATTTGTATAAAAAGGGAAACATATACTTATTTGTTGGATTTTGAAGGATATAGAAAAAATTGATAAAATACTGGAAATCTAAACAGTTGTGTTGTCTTTTAGTTTACTTGAAGAAGCACAGAATCACAATCCAAAGCAAACCATGTTAGCTTAGGCATGATTTGGCTATCATTATGTATTAGTTTTCTACTGCTGCTGTAACAAACTACCACAAACTCAGTGATATAAAGCAAACAAATTATTGATCTGTAGTTCAGAAATTCAAAACAGAAATGTAGCAGGGTTGCATTTCTAGATGCTCTCAGTCTTCATTCTTGTCTTCCCAGGGCCAGAGGCTGCTTTGCTTGGCTTATGACTCTCTTTTATTTTTGAAATCTGCAATTTCTGGGTTGGAATTTTTGCTCAAATTATATCATTATGACAGTTTTTTTTCTGTTTCCTTTATTAGCAACCATAATTCTATACGTATTCTTTTATTTCACATAATCTAGCATATTTATATCATACGTGCCAGATGTGGACATAGGTGGGAAATTAATCTGTCATTCATATCGCTAAATACCTAATTTTATTTATTATTATATGTGTGGACTCTCATGTGAGGGTCAGAGGACAACTTTCTGGAATCTGTTCTTTCATTCTGATTTTACATGGGTTCTGGGGATTTAACTCAAATCGCTAGGCTTGTGTGGCCAAACGCCTTTATCCACTGAGCCATCTCACTGGTCCTATTATTTGTATCTTTGTTAGTTCAAATAATTCAAAGTTCATACATTTTGTGAAGTCCTTTCATTGAACACTCAGTACATTTTTAGTTTCTGGTAGGCTCTGAGGCATACACAAAAGAACAGAATACTATTTTATTTGCCTATACTTAACCGACAATTCATAAACTGGTATAATTACTGAAAGCTACTGAGTCCAAAGACCATAAATAGCTTTTTATACACTTGGTGACCCCATTAAATGTGTTGTTTTGGTCTGAGTGCAGCTCAGTGGTACAGTGCTTACTTTGCATTTGTAAAGCCCTGGGTTTAATTTCTAGTACCATCAAAACAAAATACAATTTTATTAAAAAAAGTTTTTAAAAAATTTTATTTCTCTTTTTTAAAATTTTATTTTAGGTGTATTGCCTGCATATAGGTAAGTGCACCCGTGCCCAGCAATGCCCATGGAGGTCAGAAGAGGCTGTTGGATCCCCTGGGACTGGAATTACGGACAGTCGTTAGCTGTCATGTGGGTGCTGGGATTCAAACCCGGGTCTTCTGCAAGAATAACCGGTGTTCTTAACTGCTGAGCCATCTCTCCATCCCACAATTTTTTTTTTCCTCATTGCTAAGGTGGATGCTGAAAAAGTCCATTATATCACAGCATCAACCTTGAAGTACAAAAAATAACTACAACGAGGATTGGAGAGATGGCACAGCCATTAAAGGCTAAGGCTAACAACCTAAATGTGAGAAAAATAACTGCAATGATTAAAGGACATCAACAAAGTAAAAAAAAAAATTATATTTGCCAAATAAACAAATATTCAATACTTTGAAACTTATGCTGCTAATAAGAAAGTTTACTATTGGAGCTGGAGAGGTGGTTTAGCAGTTAAGAGCACCAGCTGCTCTTGCAGAGGACATGGGTTCAGTCCCAGTTGTCTGTAACTCCAGTTGGGCATTTCACAACATGAGTACACTTACATATATGCACTTATGAGTACACTTACATGTTATTTTTATTATACAAAAATAAATTTTTGTTAAAAAAGAAATTTTGCTATGAAGGCAACTTGACATAGGGAAAAAGGCTTTTAAGAGACAGGCAAACTGAAGTCTAAAGATCAAGTTTTGGATTTCTCTAAGCTTCAGGCTTATTATTTGTGAAATAAGGGTAAGATTATCTCAAGAGTGTTGTTATAAGCATTAAATAGGAATATATGTTCTCCCAGTACAGTATTCTACCAATGCTTTTAATCTTTCACTTTTTCTTTCCCTCATTTTTCTTTCTTTGTTGATGTTTTGAGATAGGCTGGCCTGGACCTTGCCTTATAGCTAAGGATGACCTTGAACTTCAGATCCTCCTGCCTACATCTCCCAAGTGTTGACTTCATAGATCACTTTACTTGGCAAGTTCTGGTATTTTAAGTATTAATTTCAATATTTCCATTTCCTTTGAAATAGACTACGAAGCTTGTAAAGAAATGTTAGACATACACTTAGACATACGTGCACACATATGCACACACCCACCCATGACAGAGGTAGTAGTATAAGACAGCTGCACATGTGAAGCTACTAAAGAAAGGTCAGTGTAAACCTGGTGGGTCCCATTAATCTACTCTGGCTTGGTTAACAAAAGTAACTACATAGTTGGGGCTGGAGAGACGGCTCAGAGGTTAAGAGCACTGGCTGCTATTGCAGAGAATCTGGGTTCGATTCCTAGCACCCACATGGTGGCCAACAACTGTCTGTAACTCCAGTTCCGGGGGATTAGACTCCCTCTTCTGACCTCCACAGGCATTACACAGTACAGATGCACTCACATGCAAGCAAGACTTTCATACATAATAAAAAATTTAAAAAGTAGCTACATAGTGAGGCAATTAAGGCTAATTTCCCCTTTAAATACAAAGAAGGAAACAGACAAGACCCGATTTATACAGGTAATGGGGAAATTGAAGACCACATGAACCAGGTGCGGTGGTTTATGTCTGTAATTCCAACACTAGGGAAGATAGGCAGGAAGACTACCAAGAGTCCCAGGCCAGCGTGGGCTAGTCTCCAAAAAACCAAAACCAAACCAAACAAAAACCCAAAAGATACACATACACAACACACACACATTTTGAACTTTATCTATTTCTTCTCCTTCTCCTTCTTCTTCTTCTTCCTTTTTTTTTTTTTTTGAGACAAGGTCTCCCTGCTGTAGCCCAGGCTGGCTTGGAACTAACTATGTAGACCAGGCTGGCCTTGAACTCACAGAGATCTGCCTGTCTCTGCTATTAATTTATTCTTATTTTATGTGTTTAAGTGTATTGCCTCCATGTATGTAAGTACACCTGTGCAATGCAATGCCCAAGGAGGTCAGAAGAGGGTAATGGATCTTAGAACTGGAGTTAGGATGTAGCTATGTGGGTGCTGGGATTTGAACCCAGGTCCCCTATAAGAGCAGCCAGTGCTCTTAACTGCTGAGCCATCTCTCTAGCCTCCTGAGATTTTGAATTTTAGTGCATTAATGGGTCTTGGCAATCATTCCAGTATAGTAGTGTTCCTTAAAAAAATTATTCCTTGGATCACAAAGATGAGGTTAACTAATAGTAGCTCATTCCTCTAAAATTTTACTTTTCCTTTTGGTGAGACTAAAAGTTGCTAGATTAAGGGCTGGGCGCATGCCTTTAATCCCAGCACTTGGGAAGCCGAGGCAGGTGGCTCTCTTGTGAGTTCAAAGCCAGTCTGGTCTACATAGTGAGTTCCAAGCCAGCTGGATCTACAGAGACCCTGTCTCAAAAAGACAAACAACAACAGCAACAACAATAAAAAACCGGATTAAACTTTAGGGTTTTAATATCCCATAGTTCTACGAATGAAACAGGAATGCAGTTTTGAAAACAAATGTCCAGGAGCCAACGAATCTGACAGGTCTTGTTTTACTAGCAATTGGGAAGAACAGAACATTAACTACCAATTACACCTACAACCCTTATCAACATCAACAGAACTGTAAATTATAACAATAATCTGCACTTTTCTCGTGCCTAGTAGCTAATTCTACTTTACAAATATTACCTGTTTCATACTCCAACCCTGAAGGCATATTTGGGGTTAACTAGTTTTTACGTCCAGTTTTCAATATGGAACTAAGAAACTTGAAGGTCATAAAAGATCAAGTCCGCAAGTAATTAGAAATGCATAGGTTTCTTTAACATCAGGTTTCCAGGTGAAAACTGAGTATGGAGAATCTCTGAGAAGTGCGTAAGGTGCACAAAATCATAACATACAGGTAACTATGAAATTTGAGAAATCTAAACAGGGTTAAACATACCAGCGAAGAGCAGACCTTCGCGCCGGTTCTTCCTACGGTTCCCGGTCGGCAGCCCAGGGTCCTGGAGGATGCCCGTCTCAACCCGACCGCGGCTCGCAGTCCCAATTTTTCCCCCTCCTTTACTGTCACTTCCGCTGTGCGGCTACTTCCTCACCGCAACTCGACGGCCAGCACCCTGGACACAGCGACCAGCACACTCTACCAGCAGCGGCTTCCTAGACGCACTGTCCAGCAACTGCGAAGAACGCTAGGGTCGTGTGGCAGGAAGCTCCCCAACGCGCAGTCGCCGCGGCTCCAACCACAGGCCAGCGGAGGGGCACCGTGCCACACACGACCCGCTCACCGCGGCCTGAAGCGGGCAGCGGGCCGGCAAGCCTTAGCGCCGTGACCACAGGTCCAGGGAGGTCGGTGGCCTAGGCCTCTCTGCTCGCCACTCGTGGAATTCCCGCACGAGCGGCAAGCGGCTGCCGCCCAAACCTGGCCTCTCCTCCCCCGCCCCAGCAGCCACCAGCAATGGAACAGTCCCGCGGGGGGGATTGTGGGAGGCGCACGCCGAGGGGAGGGGGCGAAGGCGGCGGCGGCGGCGGCCGTGGCGGCCGTTGGTAGCCGTGGGGGCGGGGAAGGGAGGGAGGCAAGGAGAGGCGGTGGAGGAGGAGGTGGAGGAGGAGGAGGAGGAGGAGGAGGAGGAGGAGGAGGAGGACGCACAGGTGGGGGAGGAGGAGGAGGAGGGGGTGGAGGAGGG